AACAAATTAATTACATAGTTAATTAGTAGTTAAATTACATTGTCTTTTATACTAACTACCTTTTACGTAGTTTGTACTCATCATTAAAAATTAAATTATAAAAAGTTATAAACACATTACTACAGGGTTATTCGCTTGAGACTGAACACTTTACCGAATCAACTGATGGAATTATAATAGAAAATAGAGTCTTTCATTATATTCTTTTTGCTGATGATCTTGTGCTTCTGGCTCCAACAAAGATTTTATTACAAAGGAAAATTAATCAACTCAATAAATTTCTTCAATCACTATATTTAACAATAAATCCGACCAAAACAAAAGTTATAATATTCCGCAATAATTAGAAGGGAAAACAATCAACTTTTTTCAGCTATTCACCTATGTGCAATTATATAATTAAGTTAGTAAAATTGACCAACATTGTCAATGTGACATGTGCTTGGTGACTGTTTGCAAGATTAGCAATGTTGGGGTCAAGATTAGTTAGTTTCAGCCTTAAATCGTCACATAATTCTATATCTAACTTAGTAATCAATAGGATGACTATCACGCCAAAATACTGTATAATAAAATAAAGACACCGAGTTCAGTGTTACATGCATACATTTTTTATCATAAGCACTTTCAACGAACTTATAGTCATCGTCCTCAAGTGATTACCGAAAAATTAAACAGAAATAATCCGATGTAGAATAGAACACATAAAATATAAGTTGAAACTTTGTCAAAGCCATTAAGAACATGAAGCAAATATTTAAATATAATTCGAAAACTGAAAGAGTAGTTAGCCCCGTGAAGTGCGAGCTGGCGCATGCGCAAAACTAGGCTCATGCTATACATATACTGGAGAATGCTAATACTTTCTTAAATGCTTGTATAGCATGACCCATACACTGGGTCACGCTATACAAGCATAGACCCAGATCGAGCATATTGGGTGTTGCAAGTGTCCAAGGTAGTAGTAAGGAGAGATTCCCATATGAAAACGATTTTTCGATCCTTGCAGCTCTTGAGCATAACCACTTGGGACAATAGCGGGTTGTAACCCTGCTCAAGTACTTTTTTTGCGAGCTTGGTGGTATGCCTACCCCTCATAACATTGTCTTGGTGCTCATCAAGGCAGCTGACAAGCATTCTAGTAGTGGCCCCCAATATATCTTGTGTTTACTCCCGTTGCACGATTTTCCAAAGGTACAGCGTAGACCCACGACCTCTCAAGAGTGGAAAATTTGTCTCTATGGTTACAAATAAGTTTGCATAGACTTGGAAGTGGGGCTAGTGGTAGTATAAGATTGCGCCGCTTAAAGATTCTGCAGATATGTATAGAGAGGGGTCCAAGGTATGGCAATAATATTTGTACCTTCGAAAACTCCCTCTTGCTGCATAATGTAGTGCTTTCTTTACCCTATTCAGCACATGCATAAATTTTGCACATGAAAATCCAGCAGTGCGTACTGCCAAACTGATGATGTCTAACTCGATGTTTACCAGCTCTTGCGTACAGGATAGTAAGTAAGCCCTTCTGACAAGAGAAGCAATGGCAGCATTAACATATCGAGAAGGCTGAAAGGCCTCTGCTGGTGTAATGTGCATAGCTATGCTAGATTTGTGATGGACCAAGGATTGAGGACGACGACTATAAGTTCGTCGAAAGTGCTTGCAATAAAAAACACATGCGTGTAACACTGAACTCTGTCTTTATTTTATTATATATCTAACTTATTTCTCTGTTTTGTTAAGATGAAATTAACATAGCTGAAACTAGTTGTTTATTATATTAGTGAATTTTAATTAACTTTTTTCATTGACCCTGATCCAGAATCTACCACTCTCAATGTCATATCGACCAGTTTATGGACCCCTGCATTAGATCATTCCATTTTGAAAATAATAACCAAAAACAACAAAATGCAAGAATGAGAGCACGAATGTGTGGATGGACAGCACAAATATTCAACTCCTTTGATTCAGCACAATTACTGACAAGGTTTGGGAAACAGTAAATACCAAATATTAGTTGCAAGTAAACCAGCCACACTATTCTGCATTGGCCAAATGTTTGCTCAACATTCATGTGTGGAGCTGCCCTAGATGCAAATAGCATCTATGTAGTGAAAAAATATTTAAAGCTGCAAATTCCTTGCACAGTCTACAGAAAAGTCACAATTAGAAAAATTAAATAGTTCCTAAATACAGTTTAAGAAAAAAAAAAAAGAAAAAAACCACAAAATGTGAAGATTGACTCAGTATAAAACAAGATTTAGTTGGCATAAAATATTATAGATTACAATGACTGATAAGAAACATGAAATTTCACATTTTATTGACAAAACAGTTCCTGAAACAGCAAATTTGTATTGCTTAGCTAAATATAAAGATTTATGTATCAAAATTAGAAGTCAACAGCTTATCATCATCTGTAATCCTTTCTGCCACTGGTTATCTTTCACAGTATTTTATATAGCTACTACATCTACTGTAAAGAAGAATGTAAGATTTTCTTAAATGGTAGAAATTTTAAACAATTTTAGCAATGGTAATAATATAAAATCAAAATCTTACATTAATACAAACTTTTGAAGATGTAAAAATTTCTAACATTACAGACAATATCATGTCAGATGATTAGTCCTATAATTAAACTAAGATTAAAAGTAGGATTTAATCTTTTCATAATGAAAAAGATTGAATTATTTGTATAGTCATCTTCAGAATCCTGAAAAAATTAAATACAAAAACATAAGCAAGTGATGTCTTTAAATAATATTTTATCCTTATTCTATGTTCTAGAATCTGAACATGACCATTTATGATGGGTTGAAAACACTTGTTGTAATCTAGTAATAATTTTTCAATCAAGATTTATTTTGAATTATTTATCTAGTTTTATTTGATTTCCCAAGATTATCTCCTCTGCCACTATTTCTATAAGCTTTCTGGAAAAATTTAAATGCACATACAGTATATTGCTCAATTCTCTCAGACATAAATGCATTGAAGAACAAAACACTATGTTTGCATGCAATGATTAAGAATGGCACAAATATAGCTATATTTCATACACACATGCAGAATAAGTAATATTTGGGAGTGAATTATAAAAATCTTTAGGTGTTTGAGAAATAAAATCAATCTGATATACTTTAGTTTACAAAGATAGACTTGAATTACAAAAATCATCAAACCTATCATAGATATTTTATTCCATGTTGCTCCAAATGAAGTGTACATGAATTTATTTAATATCAATAAATATAATGTAAGGCAGTATTAACATATTTGTATAACACTTCAAAAAAATGTATTATTGTCATAGTTAGTTGATTTACAAATAATCTAAAACATAATAATCTATTGCTTTTATTTTATTACTATTAAAAACATGGTCAGAAAAAATTATTATTTTAATTCATATTACAATAAATAAACTCTCATCTTGAACTACATAAAACTTTAAATACCAACAACAATAATTATTCACTTAAAAACCTTTAAATCAATTACACATTCTTAATGTAAACAAAACAATTCGCTTCTTAACAATTGGAAAACTGTCTTACAGAGAAACATGTTTATTCCATTACATCTACAATAAAGGACAGAAGTTGATTTTAGCCAAGACAAAAGGTTTAAAAATATCATTTAGAACATTGATCCTGGGCAATTACAAATGCCAAGTCATTTTAAAGTAAATTTTTGTACAGTTTTTGAACTCGAGAACAGATTTATCAATTTATCATTAATTATTTGAGATATTTGATTTTTATTTTTCTTTATCATTCTGCTTTTAAATCACTTATAATTTTTAGTTAGTATTTGTATACGTGCAGCCGTTCGCGTTTGTACGGCGTTATTAGTTCTAGCTTACGTAAACCACAGTCAAACTTCATTTTTATTTAGCACTATCTTTTTTTTTGGGTCAATTTATATTTAGTATTCATTTAATTACTTTTATTTTACATGTGTTTGTAAGTTAGTTTGACAAGTGTTAGAAAGCCAGTCTTTTCTAATGCTATTGATGTTCCATCCTAAATGCCACCTGTTCTACAAAAACATATTTCATTCTGATGTATAAATAAAATTTTAAACCGTTTAAAGCAAAAAGGTATATTTTTAACTAAATGCGAATTATTTAAACATTTTATTCATTACCGAACTTTAACTCAAATTTATGGTACAACTATTTACAAAGGCCATGATGAAATAAAAAATAGGTTAAAATAACAGATTATTTTCACGCACAACAATTTTAATCAAAGTCGATTTCACAGACTTAAATTATTTAGATCTACGAGTCAAAACGATTTGTCGGACTAAAACCAATTTAAAACCTTATTAAAATTCCAAATTATAACTACCGTAGTTTGAATTGGAGCTTAGAAAGTTTGTTATAATTCTTCCTCTCTTCTTTAGTCTTTCATTTAGCAATTTTATATCAAAATAGCTTTTCAAAAAACACATATGATTCAGTGTTCAAGGAGTCAAACTAAAAAGTAAAATTTAACTAAATTTTAAGAAAAGAATATTTTAAATCAAAAGCTTAATAATTCTTCCACCATCTAGAGCCAACCATATTTTTATATCAAATAGATTTCTAAAGACACAATTATGATGATTTTGCAATAAAAACATAAAAAATAAACTAAATTTAACAAGACTTTTAATGTCCTGGATCAAATCTTAGGTGTCTTTTACACACATTTTAATGTTTATTTTCTCTGTTTTAGTTCTTTTCACACATTTTAATTAAAGGAAAAAAGCGCATTTAATTGAAGGAGAAGCAGCGGGCAGCAGCGAAACTCGAAATTGACATTTATAATAAAATTAATTTATTTTAAATACTTAAGCCACGCAAGTTTGGATATTTAAAGATTAAATCGAGGTATAAATAAGGTAAAAATTGAGGAAAATAAATTATTTATTAAGAAAAATCCTTTAACAAATGGGCCTAGGACTACAAACGGATCAATGAAATGTTTAATGAAAACGACGCTCACCTTTAGTAACTAAGCGCTAATTATTTGAGACGATAAGTCGACTTTTTAATGTATAATTTTCTAAAAAGGAAAACAAAATAATAAGAAAAACCTTTACATCAACCGCAGAACAAATATGCCGACATTTTTATCTCCGTTTCGAAGACGACTCCGTGACGTCAGAGCGATGACGTTTCGGTCACATGAGCGTAACACGCCAACTATCGTGCCAAATGAAAAACAGCTGATTGGAGGAATCCAGTTTGTCAACAAATGTATCGGGAAGAGATAACGTACGAAGCCAGTTGTTTTCATTCAAGGAAAGAGCATAAAAAACTTATTTATAATTGAAAAAAAAAGGCAAAATATTAATTTTATACGTTTATATTTAGTTGGCCTTTCTTTTAAATTAAGCATTTTATACCGTAAATACAAGTAATGATCTATATATATATATATATATATATATATACAGTATATATATATCATAGATTTGGTAGAATTTAATTTTAGTTATTCTATATACATATACATTATACGTGACCTAAAAGTAACTTGTACTTAAATGCAATGTTTTTAATGGTTTAATGACATTAATTTATTATTTTATTACATATATTTAAATAAATTGGAAAATTTAAATGAATTCTAGCTTAAAAAATTAACCGTTTTAAAGATGTTCCGATTAGATAAGAGCCGTTAAATGCGCTTTCGAAAGATAAACAAAATCAGTTTTGTTACACTTAGAGAAAATGACACGGATGCGTGAATAAATGAATGAATTTAGAAATAATCTTTAATTTGTAAGGTCTTAAAAGTATCAAATATTTACTAATTTTCCTTTTATAAATAAGATTTTTCTACATTCTAAGAATATTTCTAGATTAAGGTGCTTAAAAATTATTTTCCACCGGAAATTTCGAGCATTTCCCCCCTAAAGAATCAAGATATTAACCTAAACTGTAGCCTAACCGCAATAGAAACGTAACGTTTAAATGATAACTATAGAAAACCACTGTTGAAACTTTTGCATCTTATTTTAAAATTGCGCAATATATTAACTAATACACAAGGAAAAGTGAAAAAAAAAAAAAAAAAATTCGTGTTTTTAGTTTGTCTTTTGTACGGTATTTGGATAAATGCCAACTGGTTGATTCAAGAAAAGCCTTGTTCGATTCAAGGACACGTTCTACAACTGATACTACATTGCACATATTCAGGTTCAGTCAACAAGGAAAACATGTCTTATGACCTATACAGAGATTGAGCTGATTGGAAACTATTTCTAAGAATCATAGAATTAATCAATAAAATTTTTTCCTTAAAAATAATATATAAGATAAAATTACATATGTATGAGATTTAATTATTAATATTTATATTAAAAAAAATAGTTTTAAGTTACATTTAAAAATTGGTATCAGATAGCAGCTTTACTTCTATAATGTGTTAATCAAATTGTAAACAGGAATGTAAATGAAACTATTTCTATACTAGCCTATATCATTTATAAATTACATATACTTTGATCATTTGTAAGTATTTTTTTGTGTGTTTTTGTGATAAAAACCAATTTAAAAAGAAAATTCTCATATCTTTAACCATTTTTTCAGACAATTGAATAATTCATATATCACCTTCACTATCAATAAAAACAATTGATATATTTCCAAATATTCTTATCGTATAATACATTAATCTCTATAAAGTTCCATTTGATCAGATAATTTCACTAACCTTCAGAAGGTCAGTTTAATATCGGTTTAAAGGATAAATAAGTTACATAATATTTAATATAATAAATTGTTTAAAAATTTAATATATCATATTATAGAACTGATTATTTTTATAATTGTATTAATTATTACACTAGGTTATTAGCTCAGGGTTCAAATTTACAGGAACCTCAAAAACATTGTTACAAATTAGCCTATTGACCTCACTTCATTTCCGAGAGTGGTTTAAAAACAACTTTTACAATAGTCTGAACAGAATATTACAATATTAGAAGCTTATATTATTTGCCAGTCGCTAAGAATTGATTATTTTCTTTAATTTAAATCTATGAAAATCAAGTTTATCATTTATTTTATCGTTCAAGAATTCTGTACAGGTACAAAATGTAAAAATTTCCGCTCTATAAGTCAAGCGAAAGTATGTTAAAAAAAAAAAAAGACGGGCACTTGAATAAGTTATGTAAGGTTGGCGTAAAAAATACTAAGAAAAGCGATTAAAATAATAATAAAATATACTAAATATATCATAAATCTTGTTTTATTTTATTACAATCGGTCCGAAAGAAGTGAGACGGGTCCTCGACACTCTCCGAAAGCAATAAAAATAGACCTATATATGAATAAAATCAATAAAAAAAACACAGATTTAGCTCTACTTATCGAAAGAAATTTTAATATTTATCAAGTTATTCGCATAAAAGACTAAATTTAGGAGCTTTTCTATAATCAAAACCTCCAGAATTTAATCATTTATGAAACCGGGACCAAACGCCCTACTAATTATCTTCCGGGCCTAGGACATCTTGGAGGTCGAAAGAGGCCCGTACCATTTAGGTTGAAGCCCACTACATTAAAAGATATTTTAAAAAAAAACGCTAAAAATTCGTTATATTTATAGTAAATATAATAAAAAAATGATTATTTTTAATAAATGTTTTTGAGGCCCTCTAAATATGAGATCCGGGCCTCTGTAATAAGGCTTATTTGNTGTGAAAAAAAAAAAAGACGGGCACTTGAATAAGTTATGTAAGGTTGGCGTAAAAAATACTAAGAAAAGCGATTAAAATAATAATAAAATATACTAAATATATCATAAATCTTGTTTTATTTTATTACAATCGGTCCGAAAGAAGTGAGACGGGTCCTCGACACTCTCCGAAAGCAATAAAAATAGACCTATATATGAATAAAATCAATAAAAAAAACACAGATTTAGCTCTACTTATCGAAAGAAATTTTAATATTTATCAAGTTATTCGCATAAAAGACTAAATTTAGGAGCTTTTCTATAATCAAAACCTCCAGAATTTAATCATTTATGAAACCCGGACTAAACGCCCTACTAATTATCTTCCGGGCCTAGGACATCTCGGAGGTCGAAAGAGGCCCGTACCATTTAGGTTGAAGCCCACTACATTAAAAGATATAAAAAAACGCTGAAAATTCGTTCTATTTATAGTAAATATAATAAAAAAAATGATTATTTTTAATAAATGTTTTTGAGGCCCTCTAAATATGAGATCCGGGCCTCTGTAATAAGGATTATTTGAGCCCGAATACAATTTATTTAATAAAAATTGTTATTCTGCTTCCTTATACCGAATGTAAAGATAATTTTTTCACTGTAAGTATTCAACTAAATTATTAAAGAATCGTTGAAGGTCGGCATTTACGTCACGGAAAATACTTTTATGATAAAATGTAGTCGAAAAAATTGTATAGAAGCTGTAAAGTACTTAAGAAAAATTGAATTGTACGTTTCTTTTTATTTACACAAAATATACGCATTGTGTATTAAAATAAAGGAAGAAAAATAAAAAAAAAATATATTTAAATTAAAATATATTCTCTCAACTCCTTATTTATTAACAAATATATTAATTTTCATAATTTACAACTTAATTAAAATTAATAAATAAGTTTAAATATCATATAACGTCTTGTTATATTAACATTTCCAAGCTTTAAATTCTGTTAAAACTATGATCTAATATATAACTTCAACCTTTACCTTACTAGAAGACTATAATATTAACATATAAAGCATTTAGGAAGTCGCGATCTACCGGTTGAAAGACTGGTGTATTAAATAGTTAAATCATTTATAATTTAAAACAAATCAATTTAGTAACATAAAATTTTTGTGTGTCATGAATCTGAAAATCTATTTTTTAAAATGCAAATTTATTTATAAATATAAATAAGTTAATAAAATTTTTATTCTTATTTTTTAAAAACAATTAGTATTCTCTATATATGTATAATAAAAGGGTTGTTATTTTTATTACATAAATTGCTTTAACAATTTATATACAATTTAAATTTATAAATTATATAATATATTTAAATATATTAATAATCTAAAGTGAAAAAATTAAGTTTAATATTCAAATAAAGAGTATTTTAAGTAATTTTAATAATAGAATCTGTGTTAAGGTTAAAGGGAATTTTAAGAAATAATACACCTACAATGATTTATTAATAAATGCAAATTATTTATATTATAGAATATTTAATTATGGATTTAAATTTCTCATAATTTTAAACATATTAAATTACTGAAATTAATTAAATTTACATAAAATCTTAACTAAAGATAAATCTCTTTCATAAAGTAAAAGTATCATGTCCAACTCGCTGGCCTTAGGCTTTATCTATTGTTTATTTTTCACTTATTTATCTGCAAATACGTCAGTAAATGGCAATAAATTGATTCTTAACGAAAATATATCGAGTAAAATCGATCAACAGCCACACGATTCGTCTAAAATTAAAGATATTTCCAATGAAAGTTCAATCGATTTAGCCGATGGTACGTACTCGATTATTTAAATATTATTAAATATTTAAGTTAATTAATATTTAGAAAAGTTTTAAAAGTTGATTAAAAAGTTTTTATTATTATTAAATATAAATATTTATTAACGCGAAAAACTTTCCAGCGTTAATTCATTAAATTATACTTTAATTATTAAGCTATAAAGTTACATATAAATGCTATAAAATTTTAGCTCGATGTTGTCTTAAAAGCTGATTTTAAGATAAATTTTTTTTTTGTTTTATGCCCAAAATTTAGTTAAAATTTTCACCAATTTATCCCTATAAAAGATTATATATAAAATTAATTATTAACGTCTGAACGAGCTAAATATAACAGAAATTTCTTTTTTTACTTTATTCTAAGAAATGGAAAATTTCCGTTTGTTTTATTCTTTTTAAAAGACAGATAACATCGTAAATTTCTAAAATTATTAAAGCTTTGTAGATTAGATTATTGTTTAAATACTAAAAAGTCAGTTAATTCAATAAAATAGAGTTGGTAAACAGTTGCCGCGATAGTTCGCACCTTTTTAGGTATTACTCCATGCTTCAGACAAGAGGAATTGCAGCTGTCTTTTATGTAAGTTTATATAATATAACTTAGCTAGCACCGGATTTCGAGTATCG